GTTGGGGTATATGGACATCTCCATATTTCATTCTGTGGTGGAGTGAGTAGCCACGTGCTGTTCTGTATAGGAGCAGGAGAACCTGCAGTGTGTCCTGCTGTAGCCTCTGAAGAAGAATGGAGAGAGAAGATGGCTGAATGCCCATGTGAAGGGGATGAGAGGATGTAACTGCTATTTTGGACAAGAACTTGGAACGACGCTTTGTCACCGCTCCGTTGTTTCCTGATGGTGGCTACAGGACTAGCTAAGGGGCATGGCAGCAGGCTGCTCTGATCCCTGGTGCCCCAGTTCCCAGAGCTTTCTGGTAAGGCCTTGACCAATTTTGCTGCTTGGGTCTGGCTGAGCAGGGTTTCATGTGAAGATGAAACAATCCATTGACCCAGAGACTGCTCTTGTTTGCGCTGTTTTGCAGCTGTCCTGGCAGTCATGAGTAGCAGTGGCTGGAGAGGAGATGTCTTCTTTGTTAGACCAGTGCACCACTGGTATGGCTGTAGCCATGCAAAAACTCACCTGTTTTGATCAGCCCCAGAAAGATAACTGTGCTTCATCTGCCTTACCTGCAGGGGCTGGATGGAGAATGAGAAGGAAGGAATTTCTGCCTTAGAGTAAGCAGCTTGTTTATGCCATCAAAATAGTTTAAAAGGGGGGATGAACGTTGACAGAAGGCAGAAAGTGTGAAAAGGAAATTACTGTATTGAAAAGTAGAAACTTAAAGGAACTTAGCTGTCAGTACCTGCTTTATTTCTTTCTTTGACATAAACATGAGGTAGTGTGCACTCTTCTCCTCTGGTGTGCTTTTGGCATCCATTGTCTTGAGCTCCATACAGCTGGCTTTGTTTGCTGTGGATGCCTGCTTTCTTCTTTAAGAGTAATTAATCGAAAATTTAATTAAAAAATCACTTTCCCAAACAGAGTATTTCTTCATATTCTCAGTTGTTGTATTTAGACTAATTTGTCTTGACATTGCAGCTGTGCTGTTCTTTGTGTTGCACAATCCTTTGAGTTTTGTTTCATTAAGAATGGAACTAAAGAATTTGGGGAAGGGGAGGGAAGAAGTGCTAGACTGTTAGAAGTTAATTTGCCGTAAACCAAAATGTTGAGAGCAGATTAGGAAAGCTATGAAGTGACATGTAAATGCTTGTTCAGTTTCACACTTGTGAGAAATAAGTCATTAAAGCTGGGTGCACATGAAATAGATGTTTGGTTACAGCTACTGGGAATAGTTTGTTCTTACTGGTATATTCAGAAGCATAGAGGAAAAAGCTTGGAAGATAAGGGATTGATCTTAGGCTCCAAAATCCTTAAAGGTTAAACTAGCTGGAAAAAACTATCCCTACTCTGTTCTGAACAGCCTTGTATGTTCTACCTGTCCACCTAGTTGCTGTATCTAATCTCTGTTGCAGGTCAGAAGATGCATGTTTGCACTATACTTTTGGGGTTTTTCCTTTAAGTACTTTAACGTACTTTAGGTACTTAAATGTTTTGGTTACATGTCTTCATCTGGAGCTGTGAAAGGTAAAACTGAAGCCTAAAGGATCAAACCAGAAGGCAGATAGTTTAAGTCACTTGAGCTGATTTGCATTGTTCTGGGGGTTTGGTTCATGACCTCTAATGCCCTGGACAAAACACCTTTCTTGCTTGGTATCTTCTAGTACTTTTTTAAAAAGGGTTTAATGTGTCCATGCATCATCTTGGAAGACCAGTGTGAGCTGTGCTACCTGCTCAGACCAACTCCAGATGGGAAGCCACCTTAGGAGGGATCTTGCCCCAAACTGGTCAAGCTCTTAACCAGTTTGCCAGTGGCAGAACAAGCACACAGAGGACTTCAGGTCTGGCAGGCAGATGTGGCTGAAGCTGAAAGAAACTAGAAACAAGAAACTAGGTTGATCTGGTTTATGTAACAGGCAGAAAAACTGGGGACCAGAGTATGGAGGAAGCTGCTTCGATCAAAGAAGAGGGCTGTGCCAGAAGCTCAGTAAGAACACTGATTTATTAGGGGGTTGCTTGTACCACGAAAGAGAATAGCTACACTTTGGGGTTGTTTTTCCCAGCAAGAGGAGGGTGGGAGGAACAGTGGGCAAGCCCTTACTCAGGCTGGAAATGCATCCCCCTGTAGGGTGTGTCTGCCTCTGGCAGTGCTTGTTTTCAAGCCCTGACTCCCAGCTGCTGCAGATGGCTGGAGGATGGCAGCAGCAGAGATCACTTTCTCTGACAGCTGTGTAGCTGAAGCATTGACTGCTCAGGTTCTGTATACCATGGTTATGCTATCTTCATAGACTGCTTCAGCTTCAGGTTTTCAATGAGTTTGCAGGGTAGGCTGCATGGCAGGGGCTTACTCTGAACAAGCTGTTTCAGAACACTGAGGTCTCGTGCAAAGATCTCTGACTTGCTAATTTTCTTCAGAGCAGGGGAGCTGTTTTTTCCTATGTGGCCATAAGTGGCCTTTAAATGATGATTTATGTGAAGGGACTATAGTTCTGCTGCTCTGAGTTGCTTGGTCTACACTTGGGTTACTGAAGACCTCAGCCAAAACTGTCCTCAACAGGGTTTGTTAGTCATGTTCAAATTTCCTCTCAGTTGAAAAAGAGTTACTTTAGCCACATGCTCTGGAAACTCAGTCTTTGTAGTCTGTGTGCTTTGAAGGAGTGTAGCATAACTGAGTGGGCTTTCTGAAATCTACTGCTCTACAGTTCTGTTTTTTTTCCCATTTCTATGTCTACGCCTGTGAAAATTCTCTCCTTCAGCTGCAGATAAATATAGGCACTTGTGGACACCCGGTTACAGCTAATCATGTTGTTTTAAAAAAGGGGGGAGGCTGGGCAGGAGAGCAGTGCCACAGCAGAGGTAGTAGAAAAGCCAGTCCAACAAAGCTTGGTGCACTTGCCTGTTATCTCTCGGAGGCACGGATTCATGCCTTGAAGGGGGTAGGAAAATGAAAAAAATCTGTTACTGCTTCTCTCCCTTCTTTCTTCACTCCCAGACAAACTCCAAGGTGAGTGCCCCCCCCGTTCCTGTAGTTGCTGTGGCTCTGGGGCAGGGCTGGGGCTGCAGGTGGAGCTGCCTGGCAGGGGAGTGCCAGCTGGGCATTCCCATGGGGTGCCAACAGAGCTGAGGCCTGAGTGGAGAATGCTGCTGGAGCTGCCGAGTGCCCTGGAGGGGAGTGGAGAGTGAGCAGGATGGAGCTGGGAGCTTGGATCCCTTGCAGGGATAGCGTGGGGGATCAGGGCTGGGGTGGGTAAAGCAGGCTGCAGACAAACAAGGCTGTGAAGCTTCAGTGCTGTCCAAGCAAAGCCAGCCCGTACCTTTGCAGGTGGTGCTGCCCCGTGGTGGCTTTGTTGCCATGCAACGTGGGAAGAGAGGCTGAAACTTTGTGTGCCTGGCACAGATTAGTTTAACAGTGAACTCAATTCTTCTCTGAGGCTCTGTGTAAGAGGTTTAGAGATCCCTGCCATGAGGGGAGAAACAAATGCAAGGCAGCTTGCTCTCAGATTATTTTTTGTAATGAGCTTTGTTATGCAGTTATGAGAGAAGCTGGGAGTTGTATGAATCAACAGTAGAAAAGGCAGAGAGTCAGGAGGTCTGTTAATCTATCATCTGCCAGCTGTCCAATGAAAACACTCTTTTGTGTGGTGTTCGGAGGTCTGGATTAGTCATTTAACACCTGCAGGCAAAAATGTTGTACAAGAACATGTGAAAATCATTAGAGCAAAACTGTTCTGACCTCTGTGATTGGAAAATGCAGGGAGCATAAGAATGGAATTAGATGGGTTCAGCTGTAGCTCGCACATCTTAAGACTGCAGCTGACACAACTCAGAGCAGCAATTAAGCAAGTAGCAAATGCTGAAGGGGCATTTGCATGCTCTGAGTTTGGATCCAAATCACACAGGAAGACCAGGTTTCTGGGAGGATTAAGCATTCATGGTACTGAGTGAATTAGAATACAATACTAGCTCTGTAATTAATAGTTTTATATAAACTAGGTACATTTTTGATTAAAAAGCATTGTCTGGAGTTCTTGTGGTCTTTAAAAGTAGTCTCATCATAGTATACTGACAGCCTAGAAGCTGAGAAATCTTAACAGCACATACCATTTTACTACTTCACTCATTTTTTTAAAGCATATATGGTGCTCTGCTTGTTACTTATTTAAAAAAGGAAAATGCATCAGCTTCAGAGAAGAGGTGGATGAAGGTAGATATTGTAGCAGGGGTGATCAAGCAAAAGGTCTTCAATTTATTGCTTAAATTTTTTAAGATGTTAACTCTTGTTTCTTTAAACAGAAACAAACTTTGTCATAAAGCATAAAAACTAGAGGTTAAAATTAAAGTTTCATTTTGAGACTTGCTTTTGTTTTATTTTGAAACTTGAAGTACAGAATTGATAATAGAAATGACTTTTTAGTTAGAACAATGCTTATAGATACTAATATAGATGGAATGGAAAGTAATTTAGACTAGCAGATGTTACTTTTTATATATAATACAGTAAATATCAGCAAAAGCTCTCCTAGTATTTCTTTTAATGTAAAATGCCCAAGATGATAAGTTAATTGGATAAAGCTAGCCATATCTCACTTACAAAACACGCTGTCAGTTAGAGCTGGTAACTGGCACTGGTCTTAACACAGATATACTGGATGGGGTAATTAAACACTTGGCATTCCTTCTTCTGCCTTTAAAAAAGGTGACTTCTATTTTAGGGTCAAATTATCTCCTTCTGATAACTAGTCTCTTGCAGAAAAATAAACATGTCTGAGCTCAATTGATCTTTAACCCTAGGATTGCTGAAGATGGAGCCCTTGCTGCCTGGCTGTCTGAATTCACAAACAAGCTGTAGATTTTCTGTTATCCTTTTTGACAAACTTGGAAGTTCAAAACCTGTACAGGATTGTGCTTCTAAATTCTTGACAATAAAATGAGGCAGAGGTTTTGAACAATTATCACTAATGTAGTGCTTGTGGTTTGTGTTTTTTTGTGGTGTGTTTGTTCTCACTTTGTAGACCACTAAAGCATTCCTTCCTAAGATGCTGGAAATGAATCACGGACACATTGTGACAGTTGCAAGTTCCCTGGGACTGTTCAGTACTGCTGGAGTGGAGGTTTGTTAGACTACAATTAACAATAATGTTGGCATCTACTTCAGATAAGCTTTTTTGATTGTCAGCTGGAGAAAATGAAGTCCCATGTGAATGGGATCCCCTGGAGTGAGCCAGCCACCCTATTCACCTACTTTGCAGATGGACTTGCCACTCTGAGTGGAAGCCTAGGAGGGCTGAGGGTTTCAGAATGCTCAATGATCTTTGAATTACCTGGTAAATTTAGGAACCTGAAAGGTCCCCACCTACCTACTCCTGTCAAAATCTTCAGTGCTAAGCTTGAAGCCAAAAGCAAAGTTTTCAAAAATGATGTTTTCTGTTTCTGAGAAAATGGCTACCAGCCCTCCTCCCAGAGTGTCCCCCCTGCTTCACTAGCCTCCTGCTTTAAAAGCATGAAGCTGCCTAGCTGCTGGCAGCTGCTTGGGAACACCAGCTTGGGGCACTTGCTTGGTACATAAAACTGGTTAGGATTAGAGCCTATCATCTTGCTTTTTAAGTCATTGGCACAAATGTAAGTGTGAACAAAAAGCTTTCAGTTAATGAAAATTAATTAAAAGTCTCTAATGGAATAAGTATTGCCCCATAAGCACACACTTCTTTGCATATAGGTACGGCTCAGTCCAGGACCTTAAACTGCCATGTTTCATAACAGAAATGGATGAAGCTGGTGTAACTTAAGGCTTTTTAGAGTATTTACTGTCTTGGGGAAACTACAAAGAATTTCCTAGGCTGCGGGTGTGACCACTAGCAGAGATGGACACATCCAACAAAACTTGGATGTTATTGCTGACTATGTAATTATTTTTTCATGTTGTTGAACTTAATATTTCTATGAGATACACACACTCTTCCTAAAATTATGTGCTCAAATCTCCATGCTATCTTCTATTGAAACTAGTCTTAAAAATAAAGCATTTAAGATTTTACACCTATGCCTTACCAGCTTTCCAAGATTTTTTCAGATCTGACCCAAGGTAGTATTAGGTATCTCAGTCTTTTGTTGTAACATTTAATATTAAGCAAACTGGTAATAGGAGTAACTTGCCATGTGAGCTTGCCTGGTTCAAAGACTTGAATCCAAGGTGTTATCCTCCTACATTCAGCTTTCCTGCTTTCATGATTCTGTGCTAATTGCCTCAGAAGTGAAGTGATAAATGAGTTTGATGTGATGCCTTATTCAGTGGGTGTCTTTTATTGTTGCTTTTAAAATCTGTGCAGCATTACCTCAGATATACTTTGGCTTTGAACGTGACTCATATTTCTCCTTTTAAAGTTGCCTTTTTTCCTCTTCATTCATTGCCAACACAGGATTATTGTGCCAGCAAATTTGGAGCTGTAGGTTTCCATGAGTCTTTGAGCCATGAATTGAAGGCTGCTGAAAAGGATGGAATCAAAACAACTTTAGTCTGCCCTTATCTTGTAGATACAGGAATGTTTAGAGGGTGCAGGATCAGGTGAGTGAAATTCTTCTCCTGCTCTGTGTATGTAGTGTCATAAAAGCACTTGAAGGTAACTAAACTGTTACCATAATCTTAAAATTAGTATTATATCTGCTTTAATATGTTGTTGTTAAACCTGAAAAAGAGACTCTGAATTAGTTGAGTGTCTTCTGTCCATTTGTACTTGGACAACACAAGTTTTCAGCTGTATTCTCTGTAAATTAACAGCAAATATAAAAAAAAAAATCAAGTCTTTGTCTCTGCTGATGCCTTCCAAAGAAAGTCAATGAACTCTTCACTGAGGTATACAGTCCTTTAGGTATCTTATTAATCTATCTTACTAAACTGTTTCAGAAAAGAAATTGAGCCTTTCCTTCCACCCTTGAAGCCAGAGTACTGTGTGAAGCAGGCGATGAGAGCAATCCTCACAGACCAGCCAATGATCTGTACACCTCGCCTCATGTATATGGTCACCTTCATGAAGAGGTAAGAGCTGAAGTGCTGGTTTGTTGGCAGTGCAATCTACAGACTAGGAGTAACATACACCAGCATGTCCACAAACTCCCTCCCACCCACACAGGCCATAGGTGCTGTTCTGGTACAATTCATGTCTCTCTCGGCTGCTTGAGTGTAGGTTGATTGCTTGGAAGTTCCATAAAATGGAGACACTATGCATTATGCATCCTTGTTTTACCCTTCTCATATCTTCCATCCTCCTTAGCTTCCCATTTTCTTTTCAATAGACTTTTATTTTCACTGTTTGGGTTCCTCTTTAGGAATGGGGCACAAGGTGTCTTCCAGCAAAGGAACCTCTAGCTCTGTTTCTAGAAGCAGTGTGTAGGAGGCCTTGACTGCAGGTTCTCTAGGACTTCCTCAGATACAGTGGACAAACTGAAAATCTGCACATTAAGAAGCAATTTTCAGAGTCCAAGTTTGGAGGAAGGGCTACTGAAAGGAATTGCCTCCTTTGTTCTGTCTAACACCAGAGGAGTTCTTGGGTGGGAGCTCTGGACCTGTAACCAGGCTGACATATCAATGATACGGGGTAACACAGGAGTTGGCTCAGTGCCACTGATGCAAAATCACTTGCATTCTGTTTTATAGAGAACAGCCTCACAGCTCTCTGTTTTAAATCTGTAGTACATAGGAGGAACCTTGAAAATACAGCATTGTCTTATTTGCCTTCTGCAAGGGCTGGCTGAAGCTGGGACCCTTGGTGATTTTTATTCCACTTGCAAGGCAGTGGTTCTCCTCTGCATCAGGTCTCTCATGGTGGACCAGCTCACCAAAGACTACAGATACCTTCACCACTCTCCTGTTTCCTAGAAAGAGAGTATGTGTGTGTCTCTTCTGCCAACAAATCAAGGCACTGTCAGCACCTTTAAGAACCAAGTTACTCAGCCAGAAGCTCAGGGGGTGTCTCAGTGCTCTGTGCACAAGCAGTGCCTTAAACAGCAGCAGTCACACCAAAGGCCCTTTGGGTTGTCTTGGGTCAATGTTTTCACTTCCAACAGAGAGATCAAAGCTGCTGCATAATCCCTGCCTCAGGCAGCAGCACTTGGATCAGCTGCCCTGGAGTGGTGCTGCACAGGCAGCAGGGCTGGCACTGAGGACACCTGTGCCAGTGTCCTGCAGAGTGCTCTGGTGGTCACTGCTCCTGATGGCCAGATTCTCTGCACTGCCTGCCACTGGGTGATTGCCACTGCTTACAGGGGCAAGGAAGTTCCATTTTGGTCCTTCACTAGAGCCCCTGAGTACTACACCTGACAAAAGTAATATTTTGTGGGTTTGGGAAGGAGGGAAAGGTCTGTAGCCAGGTATCTATCATATCATGGAATTCTGTCTGGAGGAAGAAAAAGGAGATTGCTCTCTTCACTTCAGACCTGTCTTTTTGAGGATGAATGATTGACTTTAGAATGTAAGTCAAGGTGGTTAGACTTCTAGTGATCAAAGGATGGTGTTAAGAGCAATCCCACATTAAAGAATATCTTACATGTCTGATGACTCCTGATGTGGCATGAGCAGATGCTCTGCTGTCAGTAGGCTCACTGTGATGCCCTGTGTCTGTGTCCTGTCCTGTCTGCCCCCTGCCCTTTAACACAAGCAATCACACTGAAGGAGCAGCAGGAAAGTCTAGCCTGAGGTGTGTGAATAAGGAGCTTCTTCCTCCTTTCTGCTTGCCTGCGAGTTGACTTTGGAGTTTCAGTTCTCTCTGAGTATGCCTGTGGAAGAGAAATCCTTTAAGTCTCTGAAGAAGCCTCTCCCATAGCTACCAAGGAGGCAATGTATGTAGGTGAGGTGTTCTGTGTTGTCTAACAGCTGTGCCCTCTCCCTGGCAGCATCCTGCCCTTCGAGGCGGTGGTGTGCATGTACCGGTTCCTGGGGGCAGACAAGTGCATGTACCCCTTCATCGCCCAGCGGCAGCAGGCCACCAACAACAACGAGGCCAAGGACGGCATCTGACGGGGGCTCTGGAGGGCTCCTGCTCCCCCTGCTCCCAAACCTGGCCTGCCCTTCTCCTGGCTCCTAAACCTGTGTACTGAACTCTAAAAATCAATGATTTTTTTATATATATATACTGTAAATAAAAATAACTAGAGTATTTGAGAAATGTGAAAGGTAAGGCAAGTGAATTTACAATGTAGCTGTCACCGTTGTCCTTTAGACTATCACTGTATGGACAGTAGCCCCTCGTAGGGGTGCCCTGTGTCACAGCCTGCCAGGGCTGCTAGAGCTGTCTCCAGCTGGAAGCTGCAGTGCTTCAGGGAGGGAAACCTTGAGCTACCTTTTAGCAAATTCAAGGACAGTTTCTGAATGCATCTCCTCACTTGTTCACCCAAGCTCTCTAAAGGACACATGGCCAAATCGTGATGTAACTTTTTTTGTAGCAACTGTGTGTTCTATTTAAACAAAGATAAATTTGTAAATCTCTCCTAATTCAAAGGCAAATGAATGTCTCATATCCTGTCAAGCAAACTTGTACTGGGCATCTGGTTTTCTAGGAATGCATTCAGTGATTGAAACTGATTTTTTTCAAGTCACTTGATTTGAAATATGCTCTGTTCTGTTTCCCCCTATATGTCAGTCCATTCTGTGTTTCTTTTCTCCCTACTCATTCTTTTTCTGACAGAGTTCTCCCACCCTTTGAAGAAGCTGTTGTATTAAATTTCTGTAACTGGACTTGTGCCTAAAAGACAAAGCACCTCAGCTGAGATACAAACTGTTTATGTAAGTGCTGATCATATGCCAATTATTAGCAAAGGAAAAACAAAATAATGCCTGATGCAACTCTACATGCAGAATAAAGAAGAGTGTAAAGATTTTTTGAGTTGTACTCACATTGTAGAACAGCAAATGATGTTTTTACAGTATTTTTTGTAAAGCGAGCAATTTTGTGCCTTGAATTTGGTAATCTGTATTAGTGAAGCATTGTAAAAGTGAACTTCTACCTCTGTATCTTAATGTATACCATCCACTTGTAAACTATTGGACAAATTGTGATTACTTTTTTAGAATGTCTTGTTAAATAGTGACCAATGCCTGTGGTTATTAAAGTGAGCCACCTTTTCCTTAAAGAGGTGATTTGAATGCTTCCTTTAAAGACTGAACTGATGTGAGCTACTTGTGCCTGTGCTGTAGCTATTTAGTATCAACACAGTGTAAATATTTACTGCTGAATTCCTGTCTCCACTTTGTCAGCTACATAGTTTACAGTGTGATCTCAAATCTGTCAGTAAGTACTATGAAATTAGGCTTTCTGAGCTGGCTGTTTTCCTGTAGTTTCTAAACTCCTTGTTAAGTGCCTGGTCAAAGAACTTTTGAAGAGTATACACTTGTTTTTTTATGAAGCTTCATTTAGATCTACCAAAAAAAAGACCCGGTATGGATGCAGTTTCCTGTAGTTTCTAAACTCCTTGTTAAGTGCCTGGTCAAAGAACTTTTGAAGAGTATACACTTGGTTTTTTATGAAGCTACCAAAAAAAAGACCTGGTGTGGATGCAGCTTTAGTGAATTTTCAGTCCAGCTGTAGTTATTACTGCAGATATGTAACATACAGGTAAAATTTATAAAAATCAGTCTGGAGAATAGTGTTGTAAGCTATAAGCCTGTTTAGAGGTCGAGCTGAAGTAGAAGAAACTGTTTACCTTGACCCTTACTCCAATTTCCATGCTCTTTTGAAAAAGGCTCTTAACTTCCCCGGGGCCAAATTAACTCCTGTGTTCTTACAGCAAAGTCACCCAGAGCATGTACAGCAAATCTCATTCTATTCCATAGCATCATTTTCATGTGCAGTTGTTTTTCTAAGATGTTGCTGCTTAGTTCAAGACAGCAGCATAGATTGAAGTGTTTGAAGTCTGGTGTATTGATACTTCTTAGCTTGACAGAGGAAAAAAAGCTGACTAGTAACACCAAGGTCCTGTAAAGCATTGTGCCAATTTACAGTGGTTACAGGCTTGCTCAGAAGAAGTTTCAGGGCTTGTAGACTTCTGCTTTAGTTATTGAATATTATAGTTTAAATTGACTACCCAAATATTTACAGTAACTTTAGAAATAACATTCCAGCTTACATACTTGTCTATCTGCTTAATGCTGGCCATACACAAACAATTATTTTTTCCACCAGAAAAAATCTTTTGAGCTAAATGATGAACGTGCAGCAGTCAGGATCAAATGTTTGTGTGTAAGTTAAACTGGGAGAATGTTTGTTTCCATCTTCCTAAGCAGGACAATTGTAGCTCTTAGCCGAGGCCCCACAATGTGTTTTGAAGCAAATGAAACCTTTAAACACATCTGTCTGTGCAGGCTGCCCAAACTGCCTTCCAAACCTTACCCTGCTCTGACTGGAGACACTCTGGCAGTGTGCCTTGGCCAGTGTCTGTGGCACTGGGATAACTGGAGCCTAACTTCCTAATCCAATTATTGATAGAAGCTGCTGTGGCAGTGAGGACAGCTAGAGCCAAGCCTTCAGGAAAGCTGGTAGCTGTATAGCAGTGTAAGCTGCTTCAGCCTAACTTAAAACAATGCTCTGGAGTAAGAAGTTCCATGCTCTGGGACTTATTCATGGCTAGCCAGTGCCTTTTGAATGCCTGTTGTACTCTCCTCTCCATCAGCTGCCACATCTGAGAAAGCCCTTAGAAGATAATTACAAGCTTCCACGGGGATGTGTCCATTTAAGCTACAGGTAAGCAAAGTTAACTTAATATTGTTCTATTTTCTTAACAGGCAAAAGCATTTTGCTCCATTGTTTACAACAAGGCTTAACTTGTATCGGGTTAGCTCTCGTGCAGATGTGGCTCCAAGGGAGCAGTGTTTCTTCAAGGCCTCCTCCTTTCTGAGGCTTGCCTGGGACGTGCAGTGCCTGCAGTGCTGAGGATTGCCATCTTCTTGTCCAGCAAGTGCTGGCAGCAGAGGGAAATAAGCTCGAGGCAGATGTGACCATGGCTTCCAGAGGAAGGGCCACAGACTAGAACAGTCCAGCAGAAACCTTGATCCGTGGGTTTTCTCATCTCTCAGTGGTACCCACAACCTAAACAACCTGGTGAGAAGCGCCAGCTCTTCTCTGCTTGCAGTGTCTCCAACCAAAAATCACTTGAACAGTTCCTCTTTCTAATTAATCTCTGAGCTCACAGAAGTGGCCACTTCTCTGGTTGCTTAACTATCTATTTTGACATTTAAAATAACATGTGACTCACGTCATACATCATCTGTTCACATGTGCAGAGTTAGTCCCAGGGCTAAACTGGGAGTTTCTGAGGAACACTAGGGTGGTTCTGAAAGTGCAGGTTTTTCCTGCACAGATCTAGAAAGTAAAGAGCAGTCAGGTCAGCCAAGGTCACCCCTTCTTATTGAAGGGGCACAACTGCACGTGGAACTCCACAACCCTTGAGCTTGTGGGACCTGAGTATCTTGTTGTCTAAAAAAACCCTGTGTATTTTCATTTTTGTCTTCCTCCCGATGCTTGAACGATCAGAGGTAAGGATGCTGTCAGAGTTCCTGGGATTCACCTAGGGAAGCCAAGCCTTTGTTACTAAATATTTGGAATTGGCCCAAAAATTATTCTCTCACGGGGGGCTCATAACGCAATCTGCTGCCTTGAAAATTCTTACATGAAACAGCTTGTGGGATGAGGATGGCTGGGAAGCAGGGAAATTAATATGGCACTCTGGGATGGAGGGAGCAAGGCAGAGCAAGAGCTAAGGCCCCACGGGGGAATTCAGTAACCACAGCTACAGCTGCTGTGACTTCCTGCCCTGTCCCTGTCTGGAGTTTTTCCTCTACTCCCACCCCCTGAAGACAATTCCAGTGTCATGGTCAGGACTCTGAAGTTTCTCACCTGCTGAGGTGCTGCATCCTTGCTCCTCTCCCTGCTGGGGGCTGGCAGGTGAGGGCAGGAGGAGCTGTGTGGGCAGTGGGAGTGCCCCCGGCCGTCTGCTGGCGCGGAGCAGGGGAGCGATGTGCCGTCATCCTCCTGCTGCTGCTCTTCACCCAGCCTGCTCCTGGAAGGCTCAAGTGCCCATAATGAGACAGGAGAGAGAGTTACCACTTCCAGGCCGTCCCCCGTGCAGGGATGGTTTCTCTAGCCCAGCCTTCTGGGCTGGAGAGGTTGCCCCGTGTGGCCCTGCTCACCTGCAGCCCTGCAGGAGCAGCTCTAGCCCTGGCAGAGTAAACCCAAGGCCACGGGCAGAGAGCCCCTGGCAGGAGAAGAGAGTGTGAGAATGCACCTGCATGGACACCAGCGTAGGTAGGTGCCTGGTAACCTCTGACCTCTGGAGCAGAGCAGTGCCTGCCAGTGGCACCAGGGCTCCTGTGGGCAGTTCCTGTCTGTCAGGCACCTTTAACTTCTCCCCAGGAGCCAGCTGCACACGCAGCTTTTTCAAACCAAAAAGCATGACATAAGAGAACCTTAGCTCTTAAAAAGGACAGAAAGCTGTGCAATGGTTGCTGAAGCACAAAGACAAGCCCTCCCTGGCCTCTCCAGTGCCCTGCTCTCTGAACAGCACGTTATGCCCACCAGTGTTATCAGTCACGTGCAGTGGTACCCTCGAGGAATGGCTCTAGATCAAGTTAAGCTGTGGTTGAACCACCTGCTTTTGAGGGATCGACGTTGTTAGGCCAGATCTATCACTCAAAGCCGTCCAGTCAGGCTCCTGTTCAAAGCAGCGGGGCCTAGTGGGAGGTGGAAGATTTCTCTGTTGAAATAGCCACTGCTCGTGTGGCAGCAGCAGCAGGACAAACCCAAGGAGCTTTTTTACCCTACAGATAGCCATCCTCTCGTTAGATGGCCTGGCAGCAGTCTGGACCACGACCATTGCTGACTTTCCACCTGGTGTCCTGTGAAAGGTTCCTGCTGTTCTGCCATGCAGCTTTGCCTGCCCTGTGCCAGCACTGGAGTCCCTGGCACACAGACACCCGGCTGTGAGCTCAGGCTGCAGCTCCCCAGCCAGGCAGAGGGGCTGGAGGAGGACAGCTGAGATACAAAG